GACATTACTACTTTATTTTCCCCATAATGAAGAAAGGCAACGTCTCTGCAATGAGGTTTATTCCCAGAGTAGTGTCCCAGTTGGGTTTCATTTGTTTGAATAGCACTGTTTATATAAAGGGACACATCAAAGTGAAAATATTTCGAATAGAATAATGCCAAAATATTTGGTTGCAATCTGAAGGATGACTTAAGTTCATTTAAGCGTTTCGATTTTTCAAAAACTTCAGCTTTGAGATGGACATGTTTTCCAAGATCTGTCCTCCAGGTGTGTCTGGGAAATGAGCAAACATTTGATCCACCTGTTTGTTTTAAGGATACTCTTCTCTTGTGGTTTGCAAGTATTTTAGGAACCAAGTTAATCTTAGTGAGAGCTGTTTGTGAATTTGACACTCTGCCACACCCTTTGTTGGATGAAGAAGAGTGACAGGCCTTAAACTTCAACTTAGAAAACTGATCCAAACCCCCAAACCCTTATTTTCCCCCTCAGTTCAGTGAATTCCTGGGAGATTGAGGCAACTGCGGGCTTTTTGGTTCATGATGGGGAGTTACTTGCCTGGGCTGGGCTAAAGGCTTCTGTGAAATTCTTAAGAACAGGCTCAGTGAGGACTGCCCAGCACCCACTCCAGAGGCATATGCCCCCTAATGTCCTCAAGTGCCCAGCATTGACAAATTGAGGTTCTTCCTTTGAATGAATTCAATGGCATCAAAAGGCCTGAAATTGGAGGAGACAGTACTATTTGCTTTGTGGTTTGGAAAATACAATGTCACCCATTCCTGGTTTTCAGAATTCATATTGATGTAAGATTTTCTGTATAAATATTTTTGTTCTATTTTTCAAGAATATGCCGGGGGCAAAAACTCCTTCAACTCCATAAGCCTTACCTGCAGGCTAAACTTGGAGCTTAAATAATGTCTCTACATTAGCAACAAGGTGAGGAGGGAGATTTCCCATCAAAGGGAGGAGTTCTCAGTAGCTACAACCTTCAGTTTAACAAGTAGAATATTATCCTCATGCCTCCCAGGTGACAGGAAGCACATCCACCACCACCCCCATTTTTTTTTTAACTTTACTTTTTAGAGCAGTTTGAAGTTTATTGAAACTGGAGAGGAAAGTACAGAGATTTCCCATACACCTCCTGCCCCCACACAGGCACAGCCTCCCCTGTGATGATGATCCACACCTGAGCAATACATCTGCTACAGTCCATGAACCTATGTTGACATGACAATCCATAGTTTACATGAGGTTCACTCTTGGTGTGGTACACAGTATGGCTTTGGAAAAATTTATTTTGGTTTATACTCCCCACCCCTTGGAAGGCTTTTAACTCAGGGTTAGTGATCTCTTACCACACCATCTACAATCTTAAGTAGTTTGTGCATTCACATTCTACACATGGGGAAGCCAAGTGGAATTTAAAATACGCAAAAGGGCACTGGACTTCCTCATATAGTGTAAACATATTCCAAATATTGCAGTATGTGTCCCACATGATATTTGGAACTACTTCTATTAAAATTATATTCACTATTTACCTGAAATTCAAATTTAACTTGGCATTCTGTATTTTATCTCATAAATAAAGCCAGGCAATTACAGTGTCTGGAAAAATTTTTAAGAACATTGAAAATATTAGAACATTTTTATAACTAACCATATAAAATCATACAACATCAATGTTTGAGTCTTAAACCAAGGTAACTTGAAATTTTATTTCTTGAATGTTTTGCCATTAGCTTAGGTTGAAATTTTAGTAATATTTTATCCTCATTTCTGATTAATCTTCAGTTGATTGTTAATCGATCATAGCGCTCAATATTCCCAGGTTCCTAAGTTAATGATCTATTCAGGAATTCTTGACTAGAGCCTGGACCTCATGGTGTGAGTTCTTTATAAAACATAGTCTTATTTTTTTTTTTCAATTTAAAGACTCCTTTGTATTTTGATTGATCACCTCAAATATATTCCTTTTAGAAGTTTGTTTTTCCATACAAGCATTTTTTTTTACTATCACAAGCAAATATTTATTTTTACAAATACATACAGACACACATATTTATTTTCTCTTTTATAGTTTATTATTGAAATAAACCACAAATAGCATAAGCAGCTTATTTTTAAAGATAGTTTTTTTTTAAATCAAGTTTAAGGATTTTTTTGTTGTTTTTATTGTTGCTCTTTTTAAGAAAACTTCCTAAGGAAGACCAGTTAGGAAATGAGGAATTGGGAATGCTCCCCTACTCTGGCAGGCCCCTTGAGAAAGGACTCCCGGGAGTCTTTTGAAGCCCCGGGATGAGGTGGGCATGTGCAGCTGAACTTTAGGGTTGCAGGGGGTTGGTGAGGAAGGTGGGTTTGTAGATGGTCCTTCACTCTCGGATGGGAGACAACTGTGTCATGCAGGACATCCCAGGTTTCCCAAGTGCTGTGGGCTATTTATTTTGGAGCCTTTCATTTCAAAGATACAGTACTCAGTGGAAGTCCCCTTGAAAAACTAAGAACTCTTCCCCCCACCCTGAGAAAGTGATTGATTCATTAAACAAACAGTTAGCAGGGCCTCCGGGGACCAGATCGTATTGCTAGCCCTTGTTTGTGATCCATCGGTAAAGAAGCCAGACACAAGTCCTGCCTCTTGGAGTTGGCCTGCTATCAGAGAAGACAATGAATAACACACCTGAGACCTTCAGTTGGATAATGTGTTGGAACACAAGGATTATTATGGTGGGGCTGGAGGGGGACAGGGCATGGGGACTAGGGGTTCCGGAGGGACTGCTTTTAAGCCAGGGGTTCAGGGTGGGACTTGTTGAGTCATAACATTTGAGCAAAAACGTGAAGGAGATGTGGGTGTTGCACAGTGGAACAAGTAGTTCTAGTGGCCCTGGTAGAGAAGAAACAGTCTGCAAAAGACCTAAGTCCCCATTTGTGTTTGAGCTGTGGTTCTCAGTCCGAATGATTTAGAACCCAGGGAACATTTGACCACATCTAGAGACGTTTTAGTTTGTCATGAGCAGGATGGGGTAGAGGTTGGGGGATGCTCCTGGAGTCTCCTGAGTAGAGGCCAGGGAGGCACCTTGACATCCTACAAGGCAGAGGACAGCCTCCCGTGACAGAGAGTGATCCAGTCCAAAATGTCAGCCGTGCCAAGATTGAAAAGCCCGTGCTGGAAGCTCAGCCAGCGAACCAAGGTAGCCAGAGGGAAGGGGGTAAGCAGAGAAGTTGAAATGAGGCCAGAGATAGTCAAAGCTAGGGGCAGAGGAGGTGGCCAGGTCAGGTAAGCTTTTAAGCCAGTGAGGACTTGGGCTTTTACTCCAGGAGAAAAAGGGAGTGTGGAGAGTTCTGAAAGGAGGAAGGAGATGATCTGAATGAACCTTTTTAGAGTATCCCCCTGGGTGCAAAATAGATAGAAAGGGGGATGTGGGTAGGGTGCATGGGAGACAAGAGTTCAGAAGCCACTGTGGCTTCAGCCAGAGTGGAAACAGTTTTGTGCCTCTGTGCAGATATCAAGCAACAACATCTTCACAGATTCCAATCCCTAATCTTTTCATTATTATGTATCAAATATGTGTATCTGGTTAAGGCGCCTTAACCACACACACACACATATATATGGCTAAGGCACCTTAGCTAGATTTTATTTTACACAGTAGGATACCTGCTGCTTTAATAATTAAATAGGTTAGTTTTATTTCATTTATTTATTCTTTTGAGCTCACAATGTCTCACTTTTAATCTTAAATGGCTGAGTTATGGATCCAGCTCGTGTGTAGTGACCTCAAACTTTAATAGGCATTATGTGCAGAAATACCCCAGTTCCATACTGGGGGTGACACACAATACTCAGAACAGTTCTTATATTTGGTCTTTATAAATGTTTAAGATTGCCTAAGTATGTCATTCTGAGCCATTTCATTCCACCAGAAGATAGCTTAGGCTTACGATAGAATAATTTGAAGTAGGAAAGGCACAATGTAATCTTTCTGTGTTTTAGCATAATCTTGGCAAAAAAAAAAAAAACCTTTCTTACTAACACCTTTCTTGAGGTGTATTTTACTAAGCCACTTATAACCCTAAACATTACAAGTTGCCTGAAAATGGGATAGAGAGACCATAAAAGGCCTTGTACCTAATGAATAGGAGTTTGATTTGCTTTTATTTTAGAATGTATTACATTGCTCCAGTACTTACTTTTCTTTTATTCAGTTGGCCAAAACAAATTCTGAAATATTCAGATAACAAGAGTTTGCAAATTCAGACTTTCACCAGAGGTCCCAGACATCTTAGTGCCCTCTCACCTTCCCCATGGGATCTCCCTAAAGGGCATAGTTATTGTCCTCCTTGCAGCCAGAAGGTGAGAGCCCTGGGACAGCCTGCAGCAGAGATGTGGCCTCATCCCTAGGAATGGGGCTGTGCCCATCCCCAAACAGCCTCTGGTCTCCTTTATTGCTGTGATGAATCTACATCATTGTACTTTTTTTTTTTTTAATAAAAGTCATGCCATTCAAAGGAAGAGCAAACCAATCTCTTTGTGAGTAAAATATAAGTTGTTTTTCTATTCTTTAATCCTTTTTTAAAGGAAGTTCTAAAATAGAATTGAGTCCCAGTTCTGTGTTCCGTCAGAATGGCTCCTGTCCCACTCATACACAGAGGGTCAGGGACAAGCACTCAGTATTCCACATCCAAGTAACAGAGTTGGAAGCTATAACTGGTTATCATCCAAGTCAGTGTTTCTCAAAGTTTGGTCCATGGATCATGGACATCAGAATTCCTCTGATCTCTTCTTATCAAAAAGCCAATTTATTTTGGCTCCTTAGTTTGAAAGGTTGCCATGAATTGAAGAAATAAAATTGACAGGTACAAGATTTGGACAAAAATATCTCTAAAACCTATACACAAGTCCCAAAGGGGTTGGAAATGACATCCGCTACAACTGTTTAACTTTGTGGTGGCCTGTGATGATCACAGTTGTCTCATGTGACATTTTCTGTTTTATTGTTGAACAGCCAATATGCCAGAGGACTATCCTGATCAGTTTGATGATGTCATGGATTTTATTCAAGCCACCATTAAAAGACTGAAGAGGTCACCAGATAAACAAATGGCAGTGCTTCCTAGACGAGAGCGGAATCGACAGGCCGCAGCCGCCAACCCCGAGAATTCCAGAGGCAAAGGTCGGAGAGGCCAGAGGGGCAAAAATCGGGGTTGTGTCTTAACCGCCATCCATTTAAATGTCACTGACTTGGGTCTGGGCTATGAAACCAAGGAGGAACTGATTTTTCGGTACTGCAGTGGTTCGTGCGATGCAGCTGAGACAATGTATGACAAAATACTCAAAAACTTATCCAGAAATAGAAGGCTCGCGAGTGACAAGGTAGGGCAAGCGTGTTGCAGACCCATCGCCTTCGATGACGACCTGTCATTTTTAGACGATAACCTGGTTTACCATATTCTAAGAAAGCATTCCGCTAAAAGGTGTGGATGTATCTGACTCGGGCTCCAGAGACTGCTGTGTATTGCATTCCTGCTACAGTGCAAAGAAAGGGACCAAGGTTCCCAGGAAATGTTTGCCCAGAGCGGAAGATGAGGACCAAGGAAAAGGAGGCGGAGGTGGAAGTGGAGGAGGAGGAGGAGGAGGAGGAAGAAGGCAGCCATCCATCGTGGGAGCCTGGTAGAGAGAGGTCCAGCTACAGAAAACTGGATAGGAGAGAGAAGACGGCCATCTGGGTTCTCCAGATGCTCAGGGCTGGTGTCCCTGTTTGGCTGTTGTCATTGCGTCATCTGATACAGTCCACCATCGCCCATCATGGTGGCAGTTGCGGATGCACTCGAAGAACCAAACCAGTGTATCTCCTGTGGTTTGTTTTCACGTGTCTGAAGACACCAGGGAAATGATAATCCTGGTGTCACTCCTTGTCATTACGTTTTACTGCTGAAAGTCAGAAAGGTTTATTTTTCTGTCACTCAATGGAGTCATACCCTGGAGAGTGGGGAGGAAAAAAAAAAAAAAAAGCAGAGACACAAAAGATCCTAATCTTTGAATTGGAAAGCTGAGGCCTGAGGTTTACGCCAACCAGCGCTTGGGGGAACAGCTGGATTGATTCTGAACATGGTGTGCAGGGTGGGAAGAAGTTGGCTAGGAACCAAAAAAGCTGTCCTGGAGATTAAAAGCAAACCTGAAGGTATTTCCTTTATGTCCTTGGAAACAGGAAGCAAGTTGTGGTTTTCGGCAGCATTCTTGTAGGAGAGCAAACGGGCAAGGCCCCCAGCTGCCCCAGGACAGGGAGACCCCCACACCCCCACCCCGGGGCCTGTCGGTTTACAGAGAGACGGATGTTACATACCCAGCTCCGTTTATGCGTGGTCACCAGTGACCAGAGAAGCTACTCGATGCAATGCATCTGTTTCAGATACAGAAATATAGAGAAGATATTTATTGAGATTTAAGTTATTGTTATTTATTACAGTTCACTAATGAGTTTCTCTCTATTTTTTTCCCCCTTATTTATTAAAGTTTCTTTTCAAAGGTGCCAAAGTATATGTGCTCGCAAAATGCAAAGAGGGGTGACAAAAGGAAATTTCAATTGGGAACAAGGGTCCATACTTTTCAAAGTAATTTTTTTTTTTTTTTTTTTGGCTAGGCAAAAATCACTTACTTTACCTTTTTAAGAAAAATCCCTCTTTTAGTTTCTCCAGATGTCGGCATTTTTCCCTCTTTTAACTTATGGATTCTTTCGGATCTCAGAAGGAGCACCTCTAACCGGCCTCCTTTCCAGGAGCGTGTGCAGAGGCTGTGGGCAGTTGTCCCCTGCCCTTCACCCCTCCATCACGGTCATACTGAAGCTCTTCTTCCCCTCCACAGCTATCTGTCTATAATAGGCATAACCATAGGTATGAAAGGTCAAGTTCCTTTCAGTCCGTAGTCCTGACTAAAAGTAAAGGACTGTCAGGCAGCCAAGTTGTTTGCAGTGTCTCCCTCCATCCTTGCCCAGCCACCGTCTTCCTGAGAGACATGCACCTGCCCAGTGCAGCCAGGGGCACACCTATGGCCTGCCAGAAGGTGGGTCTCTGACCCTCTCCAAGCCCCTGGGGTCAAGACGTGCTGCACCCGTTCACTTGATGACTCCCTGGGGAGAAGGTGGCTGAGAAGGACGAGGAGGAAGAGGTGCCTGGCCACGGCATACACAGAGAAGCCTCACACTCTCGTCCTGTGGGTCCCCAGTCGTGGACTTGTCTGGCAGCCATCATGTGGGCGATGCACTGGGCCTTGTTAAACATGTCATAAAAGGGACGTTTACCCAGGAGACAATCTATCACTACTTTAGTAGCCATAAAAGTAGGACAGATTAATCAATTAAATGACCTACTGGCCTCCCTCAAATAACCGTGTTCACTTTACCAAGTAACCAAGAAGTGGCAGTTACTAGATATCCCCTCCCCCTACCCCTAAAAGACCCAAGTTCTGCATCATTGTGTCCTTTCTGCTCCCCTGCGTGACTGGGACATAGAGGAAAAGGGCTTCTCCGTCGCCATCCTCTGCTCAAAACGGTGACAACCCCAGCTTTCTGGCACAACTTGCATGTAGTCCCAGGTTCATCTGTCCAGTCCAGAGAGTCCTGGCAGATGTGGTGTCTGTGTCTGACGTTCCCAGGTTCCAACCTCCGTCCCCTGCGCCCCGTGGAGAATACCTGCCCAACCGGGCTGAGGGTTCCATGGGTGTTGTCTCGTTCCCAGCGTCACCTACACACCACAGGTGGGTTCCAGTGGAAGCAGATTGCTCCACCAGATCCACCAAAGGGTAAAGTTTGTGATTTTTCTTTATCGTTGTGATTACCATCTGGTTCCGTAAGGAGTGCACTTCTTTGAAGCTCTAACTTCTCTGATCTGTCTCAGTCGTTTGTGTTATACAACCAAAGTTCTCTACAGACTTTATTTTTGTACAATACCATTTTGTAACTTTTTACAAATAAAAACTCATTTCTATTGCTCTCTGTGCTTCTGTACTTCCTCACATGCTGGTGGACCATGGCTGGGCCAGGCAGCCACCCCTAAGCATTGGCTGTGAGCTGCCCTCTTCACCATCCAGTCCACGAGTTGATCAGCAAGGCCTGAGGCTGACTCCAGCCAGCATTTGGGGGGAACAGCTGGTGACTGATTCTGAACACGGAAAACTTACTTATTCATTCAACGAACATTTGTGGCATGCTCATATTATGCCAGGCACTGTTTGAGGCACTAGGGATCCAACCGTGGCCAAAACAATAGATCTCTGCCTTTTGTAGAACTGACATCTTGAGGGGAGAAGACAATATTCAAAAAAGTAAGTATGTGGTAATCTAGGCAATGGCCAGTCAGTGAAGACTGCAAACAGGATGCTATCATTGAGAGTATCGGGCGGAAGGGCTGCTTTAGTTTGAGATAACACTGAGGCTGAACTTAAAGGAACTGGGCCAACAAATGACAAAGATCTCAGGCAAAGGAGGAAACTTGTGAAAAACCCAGAGGTAGACAAGAGCTTGGTGGAACCACCACTTGACACCCAGTGACACCTTTCATGCTGCTTCTACAGGCAATGTGGCAGAATCCCCGGAACTCGGTGCATCCTGGGGTGAGTAGAAAGAAGGGAGGAAACACGGCTGCCCCCGGGGCTGAGGGAGGGGTGCGGACTTCCTCACACAAACACATCCCATGTTCTGCCACAGACCGCCAGAGTGCTTGCATGTGGCTCTGGTGCGTGGTCACTGGCCGTGGCCACCCACGGGACGGCACGTGGTGTTGCCATAAGGGCCTCCCTTCCTCAGGCACCATCCTGCCCTGGAAACTCACTGGAGCCACTGGTACCAACGAGGGGCTCAGGCATTCACAGTCCATTTGGCAGGGCTGGCTGGACAGGGTGAGGGCTCTACAGGTGATGGCCACTCGTTCCAAGCATCACCTACACACCAGGAGGAGCAGGTGTGCTGAGGCCAGTAAGGTTTTCTCTGAGCTAAAATTTGTGGCCTGAAGGAAGTGACTTAGAAAGAGAACACTTGGAAGAGGTGGTGAAATCTAGCTAAACTTCACCCTCTATCTCTTTTTTAAAATATGTTTTAGATGTTGATGGACCTTTTATATATATATTTTTTATTCATTTTATTTCTATATGGTGCTGAGAATCAGACCCAGTGCCTCACACCTGCCAGGCAAGCGCTCTACCACTGAGCCACGACCTCAGCCCCCAGCCCCATTTTGAGAGCCATTCTCCTTAAAGTTTGTTCCCAGAATGACTAACAGCATTACTGAGATGTTCCTTAAAAACAAGAGGGAGGGAGAAAGGGAGGGACGGAGAAAGAAGGAAGGAAAGAAGGAAAAAAAATGAAACAGGAGGAGGAAGGAATAGTTCTCTGATCAAATAATTTTGGAAAACATCAAATTAAACAGCACTGCCCCATTCCCCATCACTTTTAAGTTAGAGATCACTGTTCTAGAGAGCCTTTACCAATGAACAGTTTTAACAGTCCAGGAGGGGAGTGGCATGCAGAATTCCCCACATGGATTTGACCTTGATGCTGTTGTTTTGTTTTTCTCATTACACGGGGACCACCCATGGGAACTATTTTGGGCTGTGTTGCCTGCTCCTTAAGGCTTGGGTGAGCTCAGAGCTGGATTATAGACTACTAAAGGGGCAAGAACTTCTACCACATGGATACCACTCTGGGAACACACACACACACACACACACCACACACACACACACACACACACACACACACCACACACACACATTGGTATTTGGGCATTGTGGTTTCTTGCTCAACATGAATAACAAAAGAATTAACCAGTGGTCAACTTTGGAAATTTCACTCAACCAAGAAAGAGAGAATGTGCTGAAAGCTGGGAAATCCTTGGCAATGAAAAAGGGAACTTTCACCAAGCTTTCCAAAACTTCCTTCGGCCCAAATTGTTTCAGACCACTAGTCTTTGCCTGGCCTGAGTCCTGAGGGCTTGCTTCCCCCCCAGCCATGGCCACAGGGAAGGCTGCTGTTGCTGGGAGTCTAGCTTGCATTCCTTGCTGCTGAGAGTGCAGGAAGAGCACTAGATTAGGAGCCTGGAGCCAGGCTCCTACAGTCTCCAGGGGCTTGTGCCCACATCATCTCAGTCTGCAGTTCTTCTGTGTGAGGGAGGTAATTTGAGGTGTAGTGAGCACTGAGTGAAGTAGGTTTAAAAGCGCTCTTAAAATAATCAAGCCACTCCCAAGCTAGAGAGGCAAAATTATAATGTCTTAAACCTAAGTATCAAAAACAGAAAAGATCCCCTACACAGGGTCCCACTGGATCTGATTGACTATCTGACAACAGCATCACGGAGAAGAGCGTACCTGAGACACCCTCACACACGGTCCACCCTTGCACGTGGCAGGGAGGGACACAGGTCTCTGCTAAGACCCTCTGGCTTTTCTTTTAACATTAGGTCATGCATGTTGAACACATAGTGTCTTATTGGGACACATCTTTGTTAGCAAAAGTGCCGTTGTAGTCCTTGCAATAGTTAACTCATCTTTAGTCTCAGCCACTCGATATCCTGAATGAAATTAAAACCAAATGCTGCCAAGTCATCCCTGAAAATAAGAAGATAGTTGGGGAAATAAAGGGAAAGCACATATTTACTCATATGTGACGACTCATGCACTGCCACGTTCCCCGGCCGTGGCAGGCCTGTGTAATGACGGGAAGGAATGCGGACTGGAGTCGGGTGCATGGGACAGAGGTGTGTAGGCAATGCTGGGACAGGTTGGGGGGAGCAGCAGGTGGAGAAGAAGAGCTGCACTGAAAATGAGTCAGAAACAGCACAGAGTAGGGTTGCCAGGTCAAATACAGGATGTCCGGGTAAGTCTGGATTTCAGATAAACACGCAGAACTTCTTAGTACAAACAAACCTCCTGCAATATTTGGGACATGTGATATGTGAGACATACTTGGACTAAAATATTTGTTATTTAGATGAAATTAAAACTTAATTGGGCATCCTGTGGTTAAATTTGCTGAATTTGGCAAGAAAAAGTGGCATTCTGGCTGGACCTTGACTATGAGTGACTCCATCAGGTTGACGGGGCAGGGGAAGGGTTGGACTTGGGAACAGTCATCTTAGGCAGAAGGGACTGTGTGGCCCCAAATGACTAAAGAGCACTTTACATCCAAGAAACAGTGAGCAGGAATGTGGGCTTCAAGCAGACTTAGCCTTTGGGCAAAGCACATACAGGAGTTTTAGGGGCCCCTAAAATGTTTTAATTTCAGTATGTGTTTGGTTTTGTTTTATATTAAATTTGCAAAATAATTGTATGAATATATGGAGTATAATGTGGTGTTTAAATATGAATGTGTATAGTGTGTAATGATCAAGTCAAGGTAAACAACGTTTTTCATTTCTTTGTGGTTTTAAAAACATTCAAATTTGAAACCATTCAAATTTGAAAACACTCAAATTCCTCTCTTGCAGCTGCTTTGGAGTACATACCACATAGTGTTAACCGGAGTCACCCTGCTGTGCCATAGAACTTCAGTACTTATTACCCCTAACTAACTACAATTTTGTACTCACTCAATATTTTATACCTCAGAAGAAAAAACAAATATAACACTAATAAATACATATTAATGAATCTAGCCTGCATTATATTCATCTCTATAGCAACACAGTTAGTCATGTAAGGACTTTTTGTTGTTGTTGTTTGATTAGTTTTGTTTGTTCATTTTGAGAGATGAGATCCATAAAGGCAAAAGAGAGCTTGGAGCCCACAGAGGTCAAGGTCAGGGTCATCTTGCAGCCCTGGGTGAGCTGCTGACAACAAACTTTCCTTCTAGTTTTCCCTTTGTTGTAAATCATTAAAGATAACCTCACCCTTAAAAAGCACCCTTATTCCCACCCTTCAAGTTAGATTGTCTTCTCAAGACATTTGCAATTTCCTACTTAGGGAAATAGAAGCCAGTAGTATGTGTCTGGTTTTATTTTCTATTACATTTGCAAAATAATTGTATCAATATATGGAGTGTAATGTGGTGTCACAGGTAGTCCAGGACTCATTCGGGATTTTGAGAAAGGACAACGTAAGCCAGGTGCCCCACAGCAAAGTGGCAATCAAGGACACCATGACAGAGGGAGCAGGTCAGACAGGACCAGGTGGATGGACAGTGAGGGAGGCTGAGGAAGACTGAACCTCCAGGAAAGCAGAAGGCCAGGGGAGTCCAGCAGGGCGAAGCAGGATGAGGTTCTGAACATGCAGAATAGATTCTCTTAACTTGGGAAACTCTTCAAAGTCGTGTGTGCAGAGGATTTTAATCCACTCCCCGCTCTGTGCCCGGGTCTCATTCAGCCAGTTAATTATGGAGCACTTATCTCCTGCCAGGGGAAGATACCCAGATAGAAAGACAAGGCCTCCAGGAGCTTGGAGGGACAGAAAAGAGGGTGGAAAACATGATAAGGGCAGTGATAAGGATGGTCAGGATGAGATGGGCACCTGGGGAAGGGATCTAAATCCAGCTGACATGTCAGGGAGAGCTCCCTAGAGGTGGCTGCCTAAACCACTGGCTGTTACAGGATGCTGAGAACCTCGCGGAGGGGAGTTGAGTCTAAAGCCACTGCAGGAAAATCCTTCCCAAGGCCAAGTGACACCTGCCTCCTGGGTGAGGGCCGGGGTCTCATCCAGGACGTTTTCTCTGGGGAAGGTTAGGAAGATCGATGCTCCCTCTGACATCCTAACTCTGGGTAAGGCAGGAGCCAGCACAGGGGCAAGGATCTGAGGGCATCTGCCAGGCCTGGAGCTCTGGAATGCCATTAAAAGTGTACATGCCAGGCGGGCTGGCACACGTTCCGGGATGAATCTGCCACTGCTCCCTCTGACAATGTTTAGCGTGAAATAAAAAGTATGGCTTTCAAATGATACCACGAGGAAGATTCTTGAGCAAATAAGGCCAAAGACTCCTGAAGAATGTTCTTGGGGGCTGGGACTCC